CAACATGAGGTCTTGTGTTAATTCTTTAAGAGATGAAAACAATAATTTAAAAGATTAAATATAGAATTGAAGAATTAATAGATTAATGACAGGACACACATCTACCGGCTTTATATGTGATAAATGGGATGCTAGTTGTTCAGATAACTACGAAAAGCAAGAATTCATGTCATGCACTCGATAACGGCCCATAGTGTCGCATCAGTAGCTGATCTCACACAGCGATACTGAATATAAACATTCCGCTTGCATTTTTGCACCTCCACAGACACAGATATTTTCATCAAGGTGCTGCACATGGAACTGGTACTCATCTGAAAGTCAATGTGGTCTAGCTACTGTACCCAAATTAGTTCTTAGATTCACCACTATCGACACGCAACTCTAAGCTGGTGTATCAAGGGAAACCACAATACCGGAAACTGTTCAGACAATCCTTTCAGCTCTAAACATTATACCATAATCCGTGCAGAAATTTTTCTAGCTGCAAACAAGCTCACTTCCTTACTCAAAGTGTGGCTGTACGATCATGCATGTGCGACCTGGCAACATACCTGTTCTTTCGAGTGATATTTATGGGATTCTATTCAGAATCTACATGGAGTTCTATATGAACTTTCTGAACCCATTAATTCCCGATTTGCATGAGATTCGTTGAATCCTGATACAGCGAAAAGCAATATCGCGGAAAAATAAACCGCACTCTTAATAGGTCAAGATCCTATCCCTGCATAATTCTAACAAATGCTGGTAGCCATTTCTCTAGCATATACGAGTCATAAACTACATTCTCATAAGCAACAAGCATTTAAATTGGATTTCCTATTGATCAATCAGTGGCTTAACTTTATTTTGATAAAGTGTTTGAGATGCCATTTCTCTCTTCTTAAATGTCCAATCACACTTAAATGCTAATTATTGATATTTCCCAATGACTTCTTCCTTTTATGCAAATGTGACATTTGTATCGTCCTTCATTCACTGTGCTGCAATTTTAACGGTCAACATTTAACTTTTGTCACTAAACAGATTTCTGTATAAAATACTGCTATCGTGATTTCAAGTATTTGTGATCTAAGATTTATTTTAAAAATCAGACTCTACTAGAGTGCAATAGGTAATTTTTAGAAATTTAACTTGCGTAGGGGAAGATATTTTGCTGTATTTGCTATCAAATAGAATTAAAAGGCTTAGATTACGGAGTAAAAAGGCTTATACACATTTTGATAAGAATCATATACCTTAAAAATAAATATTTGTATAAAAACTTTTTTCTGAATTTTTAATATTAATATTGCTAAGAACTTAAATAATTTTGAATCTAAAAAGTCCTTCCCTCTAAAAAGTGGAACAGATATTACTTTTATGTTTCGTATAATGTTTAATTTCTGTTTCCTTATCCATGCTACATATTTTGTTATGTCACACAAGAAAGTCCAATCTTAATTTTATATGTTCAATTTTCTAAGTATGACTTTGTTTTATTTTCTTGATTACAATACTATTATATTTTTAAAATTATTTTATAGAAACATAAAGAGTTGGGGGGAAAAGCATTTTTACCTTGGTATTTTTGTCAACAATCAATGAATTTGCGAACTTAGAATACTTTCTAACACATAATTTCATTTTAATAAATTTACTTCATTTTAATATAATTTTATTTCCTTTTATACTTAATTTTTTAATCTATTTCTTTGTATTTATCATAAATTAAATTTTATTGCTACTTACTCTCAAGCATTTAATTAATTTTTAATTGGTTAAAACACAATTTCCTATGTTTTGGTTCTTAATTCATATCTATCTTGTGAGTATGACGTTCTTCTATAAAATCTAAGGTCTCAGAAATAATACAATGTAATCCAGATTTTTAAACACAAAATGACAATGTAATAAATTGTAGAAAATACTCGAGTTTTAATGACGCGAACTTTGTATAAAGCAACATCTTACTTAAGCATTGTAAGATACATATTTAATCATTTGAGTATAATTGTTAATTTTAAGAGCTGTGTTAGTTATGATGGATTGATTGATCGTATATTACACTCCCACTGAGCTATTGTGACCTTGCAAATTTGAGTCTTAGCAAAGTGATGAAAACAAACCTGAAGCGGTTACTAACTCTTCAAAATTCTATACCACACCAACGTGAAGAATAGAAGCTTGATATATTTAATCACGAATCAGTCAATCTAGAAGACAAATTTTTAGAGTTGAACTTACAATTCGATTGAAGCAACTACGAGTTCTCTTGGAATTCTTCGACTATCTTGGTGCTATTAATTATGACAGAACATTTCTCATATTCTTTATGAAACTTCAAATTATTAAATACCTGTAACTTTTTTTATAAGTTTCTGCATATTCTTACAAAAAGGAAGACCACCTAAGTATTTGTATGACAAGCACGCTTGAATAACTTCTTTGATTCCCCACAATATAAAATTTTTGCAACGGAATTTAATTCTTTCCTGATAATACTTGAACAATATAAAGTAAATACTTTATTAACTGTATTTCCAACTATCCGAGGAATAACCTAAAGTACCAAGTCTGTTTTCAAGCTGGACTGCGGAAAAATGATCAGTACTTTTATAAAAGAAAATACTGCAAAAAAAGCAGGAACAAAACCTTGTTTCACGCAGGTGTGAGTAGAAATCGTTCCCCATGAAAGAGAAGTAATTAGAAACAAACACACAAACCATAGAGAAAAGGGGGAGAAGACTTTTATCAAAGGAACATTCTCATCATCCTTTTGATGACCAGATCAGGGTGACTTGAGTTTGTTTCCTTTATGGCAGAGTTTGTTCACCTTTTTTTTTGTTCAATTAGTCCCTATCCTAATAAGTTTAAGAAACTGGAATGGAATCCGTATAATATCAGATGAATACCTTCTCTAGCAGGAATTTCTCAGTTGTACAACACACTAATACACACATATATACATATAGATATTAATGAAAAAGATTTGAAGTAAGAGTAAAACAAAAACAAATGTGTGTGTGTGTGTGTGTGTGTGTGTGTGTGTGTGTGTGTGTGTGTAATGAATCAATTCATTCAAAAGAGTTTAAACAGCAAGAAATATACAACATTTCTTTTTTTAGAATAAGAAATAACACAAAAATAAGAGTAATTTCCCTAAGGAGTGATCCCCAACCCAGGGACGTGAAAGAAGCTTTAATACTAGATTGCCCAAGGAAGTCATTTTGACTGCTTTTTGATTTCAAGTAGAAAAACAATTACGTATGTAATGACACTACTTGTTAGACTTTTTTAAAATACATTTTTTTCCCAGGCGAAGTAAATTTTTTTATTGTTAATATTTACTAATAACTTGTGATATGACTGTAAATAATATAAAAAAATATTAAAAATTCATTTTAAACAACTTTTTTTACATATTAGTTATTCTTTCACTATGCAGTCATTTTGACTGCTTTTGTGCAATATAGGTATAAACTACATTTCAGTCTTTTTAGTGTTAAACTAGTTCCATTTTATTTACTTTGGTGTATTTCTCTCGTGTTTATTGGCGTCTAAACTTTCATTCTAAAGGGTTTTGAAGCATTCCTAAATTAATAAAAAGTAGTTATTGATTAATCTAAATGTTTCGAACCTTCTTAAATGGCTTTTTTGTGTAATGTAGAAGCTTTTTATTTTCCTAAGGAATAATATTTACAGAATGTAAATATACCCAAAGACATATATAGCAAACACGAAAATTCCTGAATTGTTATTGTTTTTATTTTTTAATTTTTCGCTTATTCAGATTACAATATTTTTTCTAAGTACAATTACAAATTCCAGTCACAAACTTTCTTCCACACTGAGGTACATCAAAAATGGTTCAAGATTTATTACATAAATTGTAGAAGGTTTCTGCATTTTTAATTCTGAAACACGTTTTTTAAACAAAAATACGGTTTTTTGAAATCAATATTTAAGTATTTTAAAATAGATTCAATCTATTATATGTCCATCATGAACAGCATTTGAAACATAATGTTGATGGGTAAGTATCATTTGTACTGTCACCCATTTGGACTACCAGATGGCATTTAGCATTATTCGTGGCTTCACAATGTAGATATTCATCGCTGAAGGCATTACCATTGTGGGCAGATATTCACATCATTGTTAGCAATGCACTGAGCAATGCATGGACTGACAGATGATTCATTTGCTCCCATTACACCACAGAACTCATAATTAACTGGCATGTTAGAATCTTGTAATAGCGTGACTTTTTACACCTAATCCGGCCCGATCCAGACTTACCTAAAATTAGCCTATATATGTTTTTCTCGAAAATGTCTTATGAAGCCTTTTATAGAATGAAGTACATTTAGTTAAGTTGTATCCGAATTAGAAGTACTCATGTGACTAATAATTAAAATAATGTATCGCAAATATTATTAAAAAGTAAAAATTTGTGTGTTCTAAAAATTTAGGTTATTATAATATATCAATAATGCAAAAACCGCTGTACAATTTTTTTCAATCTGCTTACAAATTAATAAAAATAAATGCTTTGATAAATAATATCTGTATTTTGATAAATAGTAATGTGGTATTCTTGATACAAATAATTATGATACATTACAATGTTTTTTTTATTGTTTTGTTAAAAGCTTACTGATTTAGGTAATATTTGCTATTCTAAGTTCAAAACTGAAATATCTTTTTTCTTTTTCAAGTAAACAAGTAATATATAAAGAAAAATTAAGGCAACTCCTACTTAGGTCATCGAAGAAAAATTTTATCTTAGCTATTTTTCTTAAATAGTTACAATTAATATAAATATGTACATATATATATGACATCCCATTGTTAAGGGGAAAAATAGAAAGCGATTTTCCTCTTGCAATTTTAGATTTTTCTTTCTATTTATAGTGTTGGCTATTATTTTTGTTACTATTTATTCACTAATTAAATTTAATTATTCCAATAAAATAGTACAGAAAAAAGAAAGATCATTTTCAGAAATTAGGCCATTAAAGGTGGGATTCAAACCCACGAGCTGTGGATTAGAAGTCCAACGTGCTATCCATTGCTCTACAGGGACACATCAAACTATTTTCTTTTTATATATGGTGTTGGACTATTATTTCTCTGTTTGTTACAATTTATTAATTAAATTTAATCAATGAATTAATATTTGAAAAAACTGTATTAACATCGAGTGTCATCCACTACAAGTTTAAGAAAATGTATTTGAACTTTAGTGGATGAATAAAAAGTATTTTAATAAGGATTGAAAATTGAAACAAGATATATATACATACAGGGAGAGTGTGAACGAAGAGCACGAAATTTCTTTTACAAAATCCTTAAGCTTCGGCAAAATATGATGAACTTGTTGAAGGAATTTTAATAAATACCATTTAGTTATAATCATTCATGGAAGACGAACAAAATGCAATACATTTTCCAATAGTTCATTTTTTAGTGAGACTTTTTTTCTTTGGGTTTTTTTATTATATGTTGATATTGGTAGAAATTTATACTAAATTGTAAACAGTCATGTGTTAACAACTTTAAATTCATATACACATGGTATTTTGTTGAAATTTTTGATCGTGCTTTTTGACCAGAGTATGTAGAACTACCGAAGTATAACTAAGGCGAGTGTTAAGAAAATGTATTTTTAAGTTTATGTTTCACTCAAGCTTTAAAAATGTTTTACACTATACACTATAGAAGTATAATAAAGAACTTTGTTTATGTCTAAATATATTTGATTATTATTCCTGAATACAAAAGACTTGCTATTTCTTTCGCATTCATTTTTATTCTATAAATTTACATCATTGTTATATAAAAAATTGTTTATCAATAACGCAGTTATTTGTTTTTTAATATTTTACATAATGATATAGAAACAGACTAGTAAATAACAGATAATGTTAGCACTTATAAATATAATTTTGTTCGTGAAAAGTAAGATATGTTTGATCTAATTCATTTATATAAAAGAATGCATTATAACAGTTCAAGTAAATAATGTCTATAACATTTTGATATAAACGAAAATTCTTTTCATATTTAAACTCAGTTTTTTAAGTCTCTGAATACTTATCATTTTCTCCCTCTTGTCTCATTTATTTCAAATTTACATTTTAATGATTGTACAGTAACTAACTCATGACTCAAACAACATTTATTAATAAAAAAGTTAAGGTTTATCTTGAAGGAATTATATTAACTCGGGAAAACTTAAATATTTTTTTACTCCATACATTACTACGTTTTTTGAACTCAAAATAGAAATATATTTAGTTTATATAGACTATTACAGATTTGCAATATCTAACCAAAAAGTATCTCTGAAATTATTTCTAACTATATGAGCTTTCTTAAAATTAAAACTTTTTCATTTAGATCACACATAATTTAAATCAATACAATTTATTATTTTTCATTAAATATTTTTTCTTATCAGATGAAATATCAAGACATATTGTAATTAGGATGCAATGCCTAGTAAATATCTAAAAATACAATTTGAAAAACATATAATGATTTTTTTAACGATCTTAACTATTTTGAGACAAAATAGATTCGAAACACATATACACTCAGAGATTAGAAACACATGAGACTTATGTTTGGTGTTTGCAGGCTAGTTTTCTATTGTTTTTTTTATAACTAAGCGATACATCTTATAACATATTGCGATACAATTGTGTGACCAATGATTTCTAAATTTCTGTACACTTATAATTACTGGAATGAGCTGGAAACATCAGAAGACTACACATAAACCTACTTAAACCGTCAAATTTTCCCTTAAGTCTTTTTCTATCATTCTCATATACAAATATTTGCATTTATAAAAATATTATAACAAAGAAATATTTATATATTTGTTCTGCAAATAAAACTAATTTAAAAGAAAATATTTCATGACGTCCATGATAAATAAGTCCACTGTTATTTAATAATAAATATTGCTTAAAATACCCTTTGTAAATACTATAATAAAAACTTACATTTTAAAATTATTTATTTTGCGTTATTCAAAGATTGTAACAATATCGTAATTGTTTTTCAGTTTAAATGAATTATATAGTTCCTAAAAAAATTTTTTAAATCAAAAGTTCAATAGAAGCAGCAATAAATTGGTTTTGCTTAAACTTGTATATTTTTCTAGTTTTAAATTTAATCTCAAGGATTTACTTTCTTTTAAACTTCGATAAACTAGGAATATATAATATAGCTAATTATAAAAAAAAGAAAATAAAAAAATTTTATATATTCAAATTTTTGTTCATTAACTTACATTAAGGAACCTTCAAGTAAAAATGCTTGCTCAAACATCAAATAAAATAGTTTAGTCCTGTTTAATTTTTCTTCAATAGTAACTAACAGAGTTAACTTGAATAAAATTATAATCTATTTAATGAAAAAAAGTTTTCTGAAAACCGCTGATGTGAATAATCATACTTAAGAAAGCAATCAAAAGATAGTGAATTATGTATCATGGATCAGATATTATAGATAAAATATTAGTAAAAAATGTAAATAAACTTTATTTTAAAAAATATATATTCATGTGGAATTTGGATGAATACGTAATATGCGTGACTTCCATGTATATATCTGACACTTATTGAACATCCGCAAATAAATAGCATTTGTAACTCACAATTCTTATCACGACTGGGCAAAACTTTTCGTCTAGATAATATGATCAATTTGACGAATTGATAATAATATGAATTTTATCCATCAAAAACGAGAAATTCGAGAGAATTTAAGGGTATATCATTTTTTTAACAGCTGTGCATTTTTTTGTTTTAATATTGTGATAGACATAGAAACAGCCTCATTCGCTTACAAAATGAATTGAATAGTTGACATCAAATTGTGTTATCGGGTTTTTCTTTTGCCCTGAATTATAATTTATTTTATTACTTAACTTTTAATTTTTTTTTTAAGATTTTATTCAAAGAAGATGGAATTCATGAAGAATTCAATGTGATTTGACGAAGATCTTTTCTAAAAATAATTTTCTATTCAACAGTTTTTTTAACGCCTAAAAATAAAAGGAACATACTCGTAAAAGTTATCCTGTTTTTTAAAAAAATTTAAATATTCCAGAAATTTATTTTATTCACACAAAAATTTTATTTTTAGAAAGTTTTTATTTTATTAGTATTATTTTATTTATTTATTATTATTATTATTGTTGTTGTTATTGCTTTTATAATTAAATATCGCATTCAACTCTTTTTCAGACATATTAATAACTGATTTACTCTTATTTAACAAGTTCGTGAGGAACAATTCCATTTTAGAGAACTGTGAAACACAATTGCATTACCACGAAGTAAAAGTTTATGTTACATATCCTTTGTTAGCTTTTTCAACTGATGATTTTGGTTTTTTTCACGTTCATGTAACAACTAAAAACGTAACATTTTATCTTGGAAAAATTATTTTATTTTGGATGAAATTTGTAAATGACCATAAATGTCAGTTTGTTCTCTAAGCTCATTTATTAGTTTTACTCCTTGGCATTTTGCCTGATTTTGATTCTGAATGCTACCTATTTTTACTTTTGAATGTATAAATGGAGAGAGTTTTACAATCATATATAATTGTTATTTAAATTATTTATAATCGTACGATACCGGGAAAAGGAATCAACCAAACAAAAGAGACCCTAGATGTACCATTTTGATTACTGCACTGCTTCTCAAACTTTCAATACTTACGACCCAACAATTAACCGTAATTTTCCTCGCACCCCACTTCAGACAAAAAACAATGTATTGAATTCAATAACTTTGGCACTAAAGCTACAATACTACACAACAACTTTTTCTTAAGTGAACCTGCGTATATAAACGTCTCGCTCAGCCAAACCATTAATTACCCTGGAAGTATATATACGTCTTTCCGAAGTGCAATATTTTCTGTGCACTGCTATCATAAAATTAATCCATAGGTTTTGGACTGCAATAAAAGGATATTGACCGTATTTTCGAAGGATTTACCTATTTTAGACGATATCCTTATTTATTATCCTTTTCTTCCCCTTCCCCAATGAGTCACACACGCTGGCCTACGTGAAAAATGGTGGTATTTAGGCCGTTAAGGGATTAATTATAAACACAGTAAAAAAATTATCAAGATAAATGTTAATTTTTTCATATAATGTTATATATGACAAGCCCATGGGGTCACTAGTTATTATTAAACTTCTTCTTAACATCGAATTGTTAAATTAATTACGTAATACTGATACATTTATAAGTGTATTATATCAGTACAAATGTTAATTTTATTTTGTATTATGTCAGAACGTATTCTGTTTGTTTACTTTCAGTACATCAATAATATTTTAAAAAATAATCTTTTGTTTTTGATTTTTCAATATGCTCGCACCCCCCTTGTAGAGTTATCTCGCCTCCTTAGGGGGGCGTGCCCCACAGTTTGAGAAACAATGGATTACTGTATTAAATTGCGGGTAAACTTTTGATCAAATGCTTTGGCCAGTGTATTAATTTACGTAGAAGGCTCAAATTGGAGTCATGAAAAATCATTATCTTGATGGCGTAATTGCTCGAGATTTCAGAATTCCTTAATCACTCGTGGGATGAAGAAAATCAAAATGACATGATTCTCCCTATGATTTGCACTCTTCAGCTTTTAACTGAAGTTATATATACAACTGAAAATTCATATAGTGTATCATTTTTGTCGTTCGTTTCGTTATCAGCCATTCTTTAACTGAAAAAATATACTAGCATTAACTAAAGAAACAAATTTGTTCAAAAAAGGTAAAGGGGCCTAGGCTTCATTAAAATACTATCAACAAACTGTATAGAGAAGGGAAAAAAAGAAACGTATCTTACAGTAGTCGCATATGATGTGTAACATCTGACATGTTATCGTGGTAAATACACAATATTAACTTTTTCCTGATAAAAATATGAAAATCACGCGCGGGTATGATTGGAAAAATTTTTCTATCGAATAATTTTATCTTTAATGAAAATTGTATTTAATTAACAAAAGAAGTAATGCAATATTTTATCAAAAATAATTATTC